TCGACACAGAGGGCTGGAGTAACGCCTACTGACAACAGTCGACAAAGAGGGATGGTTGGAGTAATGCCTAACTGACAACAGTCGACACAGAGGGATGGAGGTAACGCCTACTGACAGCAGTCGGACACAGAGGTAACGTCAGCCCATCACAAGAAAGTCGACACAGAGGTGGATGGCCTACTGACAACAGTCGACACAGAGGGATGGAGTAATGCCTACTGACAACAGTCGACACAGAGGGATGGAGTAATGCCTACTGACAACAGTCGACACAGGATGGAGATGGTGACAACACGACACAGAGGGATGGAGTAACACCTACTTACAACAGTCTACACAGAGGGGTGGAGTAACACCACTGACAACAGTCGGCACAGGGGGATGGTGTAACGCCTACTGACAACAGTCGACACAGAGGGCTGGAGTAACGCCTACTGACAACAGTCGACAAAGAGGGATTGAGTAATGCCTACTGACAACAGTCGACACAGAGGGATGGAGTAATGCCTACTGACAATAGTCGACACAGAGGGATGGAGTATGCCTGCTGACAACAGTCGACACAGAGGGATGGAGTAATGCCTACTGACAACAGTCGACACATGGGGATGAAGTAACGCCTACTGACAACAGTCGACACAGAGGGATGGAGTAACGCCTACTGACAACAGTCGACACAGAGGGATGGAATAATGCCTACTGACAACAGTCGACACAGAGGGATGGAGAATGCCTACTGACAACAGTCGACACAGAGGGATGGAGTAATGCCTACTGACAACAGTCGACACAGAGGGATTGAGTAACACCTGCTGACAACAGTCGACACAGAGGGGTGGAGTAATGCCTACTGACAACAGTCGACACAGAGGGATGGAGTAACGCCTACTGACAACAGTCGACACAGAGAGATGGAGTAACACCTACTGACAACAGTCGACACAGAGGGATGGAGTAATGCACCTACTGACAACAGAGGGAGTAATGCCTACGACACAGAGGGATAGAGTAACACCTACTGACAACAGTCGACACAGAGGGATGGTGTAACACCTTACTGACAAACAGTCGACACAGAGGGATGGAGTAACACCTACTGACAACAGTCGACACAGATGGATGGAGTAATGCCTACTGACAACAGTCGACACAGAGGGATGGAGTAACTGCCTACTGACAACAGTCGACACAGAGGGTGCAGTAACGCCTACTGACAACAGTCGACACATAGGGATGGAATAATACCTACTGACAACAGTCGACACAGAGGGGTCGAGTAACGCCTAATGACAACAGTCGACACAGAAGGATGGAATAATGCCTACTGATAACAGTCGACACAGAGGGATGGAGTATGCCTACTGACAACAGTCGACACAGAGGGATGGAGTAAAGCCTACTGACAACAGTCGACACAGAGGGGTGGAGTAACACCTACTGACAACAGTCGACACAGAGGGGTGGAGTAACACCTACTGACAACAGTCGGGACAGGGGGATGGTGTAACACCTACTGACAAGCAGTCAACACTGAGGGATGGAGTAACGCCTACTGACAACAGTCGACAAAGAGGGATTGAGTAATGCCTACTGACAACAGTCGACACAGAGGGATGGAGTAACGCCTACTGACAACAGTCGACACAGAGGGATGGAGTAATGCCTACTGACAACAGTCGACACAGAGGGATGGAGTAATGCCTACTGACAACAGTCGACACAGAGGGATGGAGTAAAGCCTACTGACAACAGTCGACACAGAGGGATGGTGTAACACCTACTTACAACAGTCTACACAGAGGGGTGGAGTAACACCACTGACAACAGTCGGCACAGGGGGATGGTGTAACGCCTACTGACAACAGTCGACACAGAGGGCTGGAGTAACGCCTACTGACAACAGTCGACAAAGAGGGATTGAGTAATGCCTACTGACAACAGTCGACACAGAGGGATGGAGTAATGCCTACTGACAATAGTCGACACAGAGGGATGGAGTATGCCTGCTGACAACAGTCGACACAGAGGGATGGAGTAATGCCTACTGACAACAGTCGACACATGGGGATGAAGCAACGCCTACTGACAACAGTCGACACAGAGGGATGGAGTAACGCCTACTGACAACAGTCGACACAGAGGGATGGAATAATGCCTACTGACAACAGTCGACACAGAGGGATGGAGAATGCCTACTGACAACAGTCGACACAGAGGGATGGAGTAATGCCTACTGACAACAGTCGACACAGAGGGATTGAGTAACACCTGCTGACAACAGTCGACACAGAGGGGTGGAGTATGCCTACTGACAACAGTCGACACAGAGGGATAGAGTAACACCTACTGACAACAGTCGACACAGAGAGATAGAGTAACACCTACTGACAACAGTCGACACAGAGGGATAGAGTAACACCTACTGACAACAGTCGACACAGAGGGATAGAGTAACACCTACTGACAATAGTCGACACAGGGGGATGGTGTAACACCAACTGACAAACAGTCGACACAGAGGGATGGAGTAACACCTACTGACAACAGTCGACACAGATGGATGGAGTAACGCCTACTGACAACAGTCGACACAGAGGGATGGAGTAACGCCTACTGACAACAGTCGACACAGAGGGGTGCAGTAACGCCTACTGACAACAGTCGACACAGAGGGATGGAATAATGCCTACTGACAACAGTCGACACAGAGGGGTGGAGTAACGCCTAACTGACAACAGTCGACACAGAAGGATGGAATAATGCCTACTGATAACAGTCGACACAGAGGGATGGAGTATGCCTACTGACAACAGTCGACACAGAGGGATGGAGTAAAGCCTACTGACAACAGTCGACACAGAGGGGTGGAGTAACACCTACTGACAACAGTCGACACAGAGGGGTGGAGTAACACCTACTGACAACAGTCGACACAGAGGGATGGTGTAACACCTACTGACAACAGTCGACACAGAGGGATGGAGTAACGCCTACTGACAACAGTCGACACAGAGGGATGGAGTAATGCCTACTGACAACAGTCGACACAGAGGGATGGAGTAACGCCTACTGACAACAGTCGACACAGAGGGATGGAGTAACGCCTACTGACAACAGTCGACACAGAGGGGTGGAGTAACACCTACTGACAACAGTCGACACAGAGGGGTGGAGTAACACCTACTGACAACAGTCGGGACAGGGGGATGGTGTAACACCTACTGACAAGCAGTCGACACTGAGGGATGGAGTAACGCCTACTGACAACAGTCGACACAGAGGGATGGAGTAACGCCTACTGACAACAGTCGACACAGACAGAGAGACAAGATATTCTTCCTTAAGTGGCATTTAGAAGCTGGTATGATGAAGAGGAACACATTATATGGATAGACAACTTCTTTGTTGCAGTAGATGCGACGTTTCGGTGTAGATCCTAACACCGTTATCAAGCAAATGATACACAACATGTGCACAAGGAGAACCACACCCAAGCCCACCCGAACCATACCATCCTTTGGAATAACATCAGCATCCTAGAAGCCAACCGGTCAGATTACAAGATAAGAAAACTCTTAGAGGCAATCAACCCCAAACGACACAACCTGACAATCAACAGAGATAAAGGTTATTACATCCTTACGGCTTACGATCAACTAATCAAGCCTAATCAAGAATAGCCCGACCTTTGTCTACTGGCTTCAATCAATTCCTATCACAACAAGTCTCATGTCGACACACTGTACATCAACCTCTTCTATTGTATAAACCAATACCCGTCATGTATATATTTCTCCTTATGCACATGTTGTGCATCATTTGCTTGATAACGCTGTTAGGATCTACACAAAACAAAGAAGTTGTCTATCCATATAAAGTGTTCCTCTTCAACAAGATATACTACTTACTACACCTACTGACAACAGTCGACACAGGGGATGGTGTAACACCTGCTGACAACAGTCGACACGGAGGGGTGGAGTAACACCTACTGACAACAGTCGACACAGAGGGATGGAGTAAAGCCTACTGACAACAGTCGACACAGGGGAATGGTGTAACACCTGCTGACAACAGTCGACACAGAGGGGTGGAGTAACACCTACTGACAACAGTCGACACAGGGGGTTGGTGTAACACCTACTGACAACAGTCGACACAGGGGAATGGTGTAACACCTACTGACAACAGTCGACACAGGGGAATGGTGTAACACCTGCTGACAACAGTCGACACAGGGGGTTGGAGTAACACCAACTGACAACAGTCGACACAGAGGGGTGGAGTAACACCTACTGACAACAGTCGACACAGAGGGGTGGAGTAACACCTACTGACAACAGTCGACACAGGGGGTTGGTGTAACACCTACTGACAACAGTCGACACAGGGGAATGGTGTAACACCTACGGACAACAGTCGACACAGAGGGATGGTGTAACACCTACTGACAACAGTCGACACAGGGGAATGGTGTAACACCTACTGACAACAGTCGACACAGGGGAATGGTGTAACACCTACTGACAACAGTCGACACAGAGGGTTGGTGTAACACCTACTGACAACAGTCGACACAGGGGAATGGTGTAACACCTACTGACAACAGTCGACACAGGGGAATGGTGTAACACCTGCTGACAACAGTCGACACAGGGGTTGGAGTAACACCTACTGACAACAGTCGACACAGAGGGGTGGAGTAACACCTGCTGACAACAGTCGACACAGAGGGGTGGAGTAACACCTACTGACAACAGTCGACACAGAGGGATCGACACAGAAAGGGATGGAAAGCCTACTTACAACAGTCGACACAGAGGGGTGGAGTAACACCTGCTGACAACAGTCGACACAGGGGGATGGTGTAACACCTGCTGACAACAGTCGACACAGGGGGATGGTGTAACACCTACTGACAATAGCCGACACAGGGGATGGTGTAACACCTACTGACAACAGCTGATACAGACAGATGTAGAACAAGATATACTACTTACTGCAGCCGTGCACGAGATGCGGCCAGTTGCAAGTCAGAGCCTTGTTGTCCCACACAAGACCGGGGGAGCAGTGAAATGTGTAGTAGATCTTCCTGTCCTTCACGCACTGGTAGTAGGTGTCGCAGTCGTGTGGATCTCTCACGTAGCCATAGCCTTTGTCGTAGTCGCATTTATCGCATACGACTTGGAAAGTGGTAGCAACCTTTATACTAGCTGTCAACAAAGTGCATGTTTCAGAAGACTTTCAGAAGTGATGCCCATTCCTCAGTTCAACGTTGATACAGGAGTGTATAATAATAACGGTTCAAGAAAAAAAGATAGCTTCATGTCCTGACCATGGTGTGTGGTGTAACTTGTTATGACAATGGCGGATAGTTTCCCATTTGTTGATTGTCAAACCAAGACACTAATTCCTTTGGATTATATTGTCCTCCACTTGGTGCCCTAATATTTCATGACCTTCACTTCGTACCCCACTGTTTCATATGTTTCATTTGATACCCTATTACTTCATCTCCTTCACTTGATACCCTACTATCTGATATACTTCACGTGATACCCTACTATCTGATATACTTCACTTGATACCCTACTATCTGATATACTTCACAGGATACCCTACTATCTGATATACTTCATTTGATACCCTACTATCTGATATACTTCACACCATACCCTACTTTATGATATACTTCACTTGATACCCTCCTATCTGATATACTTCACTTGATACCCTACTATCTGATACACTTCACTTGATACCCTACTATCTGATATACTTCACTTGATACCCTACTATCTGATATACTTCATACCCCACTTCTAATTACACTTCCACTTGATACCACTTACTATTCTACTATCTGATATACTTCACTTGATACCCTACTATCTGATATACTTCACTTGATACCCTACTATCTGATATACTTCACACCATACCCTGGTATCTGATATACCATTAACTACATACCATTAACTTGTTATCATTTACTTGATACCATTAACTTCATACCATTAACTTGAAACCATTAACTTGATACCATTAACTTGATACCCTCTAAATATCCTTCACTAAATATCACTTCATGTCACACCATGCTACCCGCCACTTGCTACCACACCGTGCTACCCGCCACTTGCTACCACACCATGCTACCCGCCACTTGCTACCACACCATGCTACCTGACACTTGCTACCACACCATGCTACCCGCCACTTGCTACCACACTATGCTACCCGCCACTTGCTACCACACTATGCTACCTGCCACTTGCTACCACACCATCCTACCCGCCACTTGCTACCACACTATCCTACCCGCCACTTGCTACCACACCATCCTACCCGCCACTTGCTACCACACCATGCTACCCGCCACTTGCTACCACACCATCCTACCCGCCACTTGCTACCACACCATGCTACCCGCCACTTGCTACCACACCATGCTACCCGCCACTTGCTACCACACTATGCTACCTGCCACTTGCTACCACACCATGCTACCCGTCACTTGCTACCACACCATGCTACCCGCCACTTGGGGTCGCACCATCCCACCCACCACACTTGCTACCACACTCCATGCTACCCGCCACTTGTTACCACACCATCCTACCCGCCACTTGCTACCACACCATGCTACCCGTCACTTGCTACCACACCATGCTACCCGTCACTTGCTACCACACCATGCTACCCGCCACTTGCTACCACACCGTGCTACCCGCCACTTGCTACCACACCATCCTACCCGCCACTTGCTACCACACCATAACTCATAATTCTGGCCACACTTCTGCTACCTCACACTATGCTACCCGCCACTTGCTACGACACCATGCTACCTTCCACTTGCTTCCACACCCTGCTATCCGCCACTTGGTGCCACACCATCCTACCCGCCACATGCAACCACACCATGCTACCCGCCACTTCCTTCCACACCATGCTACCCGCCACTTGCTACCACACCATGCTACCTCGCCACTTGCTACCACACGGGTGCTACCCGCCACTTGTTACCACACTACTCTGCCACCCTTCTACCACTTCCTACCACACCATGCTACCCGCCACACTATATCACCAAAAGCATCAACATACCCACACCTGCTACTCACACCCTGCCACCTTCACACTTGCTACCACACCACCTACACCGCCACTCTATACTCTCACACCATGCCACCTCACACACACCAATCCTACCCATCACTTCCTACCACACCATGCTACCCGCCACTTGCTACCACACCATGCTACCCATCACTTGCTACCACACCATGCTACTCCTGCTACCCACTTGCTACCACTCTGCCAATACCACACCATGCTACCAATCACTTGCTACCACACCATGCTACCCGGCCACTTGCTACACCATCCACTTGCCACCAACTCATGCTACACCTGTGCTACTATGCCACCTTGCCACCTACACCATACCATTACTATGCTACCACATCATTACTCCCACTTGCTGCTACCATCCGCCACTTGTGCTACACCATATACCACCACACACTTTAATCCACACCCATGCTACCACCTACTCCCCCCACTTGCTACCACACCATACCTGCCATCCTGCCAATTTGCCACACACCATACTACCTCCATTCACACCATTCACCACACCACAAGCTACCCGCCACTTGGTTACCACACCCCATGCTACCCACACTTGCTACACACACCATACCCGCCACTTGTTACCACACCATGCCACCCGCCACTTGTTACCACACCATGCCACCCGCCACTTGCTACCACACCATGCCACCTCCACCACGTTACCACCACACCATGCTTCCCGCCACTTTGCCACCACACCATGCCACCCGCCACTTGCTACCACCATACTTGCTCACCACACTTTCACCCGCCACTTGTCACCACCCACACCATGCTACCTGCCACTTTGCTACCACACCATGCTACCTTGCCACACTTTGCTACTCACACACTCATGCATTACCCTGCCACTTGCTACTTACCACACCCATGCTACCCGCCACTCTTGCTACTTTCACCATGCTACCCGCCACTTGTTACCACACCATGCCACCCGCCACTTGTTACCTACACCATACATCTGCCACCTTACCACCACCATGCCACTTCTTGCCACTTGCTACCACACCATGCTACCCGCCACACTTGCTACCACACCATGCTACCACCACACTTGCTACCACACCATGCTACCTGCCACTTGCTACCACAACCATTCTACTCCGCCACTTGCCACCACACCATCTTATTCGCCACTCTACCACACCGTGCTACTCCACACTTGCTACCACACCATGCCACCTGCACCCACTTGCTACCACACCATCCCACCCGCCACTTGTTACCACACCGCTACTGCTTCCTGCTACTTACTACCACACCATCCTACATGTTACACTTCACTTCCTACCACACCATCCTACCTGCCACTCTGCAACACACACCATGCTACCCATCACTTGTTACCATTAACCATGCCACTCCATCACTTGTGCCACCACACCATGCTACCCACACTTGCACCCACCACACCATGCATGCCACCACACTTGCAATTTCACACCATGCCACCTCATCACTCTTACCACACACACCATGCCAGCACTACACTTACTCACTAACCATGCCACCCATCACTTGCTACCACACCATGCTGCCACCTGCCACACTTACACTGCCACACCATGCCACCCACACTTGCTACCACACCATGCTACTCCACACTTGCTAATCACTTCATACCACACCATATACTCATTAATCCATCACTTGCTTCCACACCACATGCTACCTGCCACTCCATACCACACCATGCCACCTGCCACTTGCCACTCACACCATGCTACTGCCAGCACTTAACCACACACATGCACTCCTGCCACTTCATACCACACCATCCCACCCATCACTTGCTACCACACCATGCCACTCCACACTTGTTACCACACCATTCCATGCTACCTTGCTACTTATACCACACCATCCTACCCGCCACTTGCTACTACACCATGCTACTCATGCCACTTACAGCCACCACACCATGCTACCTGCAACTTGCTACCACCACACCATGCTACCCATCACTTGTTACCACACCATGCTACCTGCCACTTTGTTACCATTAACTCATGTTACTCCATCACTTTGTTACACCACACCATAAGCCCATGCCACTTGATACACACCATGCTACCCGCCACTTGCTACCACACACCATGCTACCTGCCACTTGCCACCACACACCATGCATCATACTCCGCCACTTATACCACACACATGCTACTCTGCCACTTTGCTACCACACCATGCTACCCGCCACCTCATGTTACCACACCATGCTACCCGCCACTTGCTACCACATTATGCCACACTCATGCTACTACCCGCCACTTTGTTACCACACCATGTTACCTACCCACTACTAACTTACACACCATCCTCACTCCTACTCTCCACTTGTTACCACACCATGCTACCTGCACACTTTGCTACCACACTGCATGCTACTCCGCCACTTTGTGCCACACTATGCTACCCGCCACTTGCTACTACACCATGCTACCCACCATAATTCATGCTACCACACCATGCTACCCATCACTTGCTACCACACCATGCTACCCACCACTTGCTACCACACCATGCTACCCACCACTTGCTACCACACCATGCTACCCACCACTTGCTACCACACCATCCTACCCGCCACTTGCTACCACACCTTATAAGCTACCCAGCCACTTTGTTACCACATGCTACTATGCTACCCCCACTTGTTACCACACCATGCTACCCGCCACTTGCTACCACAACATCATGCTACCTGGCCACTCTTGCTACCACACCATGCTACCCGCCACTTGTGCCACACCATGCTACCCGCCACTTGCTACCACACCATGCTACCCGCCACTTGCTACCATACCATGCTACCCGCCACTTACTACTACACCCTGCTACCCGCCACTTGCTACCACACCGTACTACCCGTCACTTACTTCTACACCATGCTACCCGCCACTAGCTACCACACTATGCTACCCGCAACTTCCTGCCACACCGTGCTACCCACCACCTGCTACCACACCATGCTACACAATCACTACTTACCATCCTTTTGCCCCGCCCCTTCATGCCATGTGTAAACTCACCTTCTTTGACAGCTGAAACTAAAATAAACCTTTATAAGTATTAGTTGTACAATACTGGAAGCAACATCAAACTAAGAGAAAAAGGGATCTAAACAATAATTCACCACATGACTGGTTACCCAGGCACTTGTTACCCCAACCTTACTCCCCAACACAGGTTACCCAGTCACTTGCTAACACACCTTACTCCCCAACACAGGTTACCCAGTCACTTGCTAACACACCTTACCCCCAACACTGGTTACCCAGTCACTTTGCAAGCATTACACCTTACTCCCCAACACGGGTTACACCCAGTCACTTGCTAACACACCCTACTAACACACCCCAACACAGGTTACCCAGTCACTTGCTAACACACCTTACCCCAAACATTGGTTACACAGTCACTTGTTAGCTCACCTTACTCCCCAACACGGATTACCCAGTCACTTACTAACACACCTTACTCCACAACACTGGTTACCCAGACACCCTTTACCTCACCTTCCTCCCCAATACGGGTTACTCAGACACTTGTACCACACACCCCATCTCCCCAACACGGGGTACCCAGACACTTGTTACACCTTACCCAACACTGGCCCCAACACTTGTTACCTACCTTTACTCCCCATCTTGTTACCCAGACCTCACTTTTACTTCCTCCCAACACGGGGTACCCAGACACTTGTTACCTCACCTTACTCCCCAACACTGGTTACCAAGACACCTTTTACCTCACCTTACTCCCCAACACAGGTTACCCAGACACTTGTTACCTCACCTTACTCCCCATCAATCGTTACCCAGACACTTGTTACCTCACCTTACTCCCCATCAATTGTTACCCAGAAACTTGTTACCTCACCTTACTCCCCATCAATTGTTACCCAGATACTTGTTACCTCACCTTACTCCCCATCAATTGTTACCCAGATACTTGTAACTTCACCTTACTCCCCATCAATTGTTACCCAGACACTTGTTACCTCACCTTACTCCCATCAATTGTTACCCCTACACTTGCTACCTCACCTTACTCCGCATCAATTGTTACCCTGACACTTGTTACCTCACCTTACTCACCATCAATTGTTACCCAGATACTTGTTACCTCACCTTACTCCCCATCAATTGTTACCCAGATACTTGTTACCTCACCTTACTCCCCATCAATTGTTACCCAGACACTTGTTACCTCACCTTACTCCCCAACACGGGTTACCCAGACACTTGTTACCTCAACTTACTCCCCATCAATTGCTACCCAGATACTCGTTACCTCACCTTACTCCCCATCAATTGTTACCCAGACACGTGTTACCACACTTACATGTGATAAATATATATAATAAACAACACGTATCTACTACAAGTGTTGCCTAGTTGAGTGTACAGCAGATTGAAGTGGGTGCTGTGATATTGACACGTCCACACATATGCTGTAAACCCGACAGTCAGGTTTGTTATACCAATACTTTCTACCACTGTCTATGTATCTTTCCAGTGGACACCTACCCAGTGACAAGTCGCCTCTTGTTTCATTGGTGAAGCCAATTGGCTGGATAGCTGAAACAACACGAGAGTGTAAATTATCCATATGGACATGTACCTTTGTAGTGTGGTTGTTTAAGCAATTATACAGAAATGAATCTAGCTGATCGCCTAATCTGTCAAACTAAACAACATAATATTATTTGAAGCGTCGTAATTAAGATAAGCTTCACGTCGTCTGTATTTCAGTCTTACTGACTGATGATTTGAAAAGTAAGAACTATGACCAAATTGCGAATACCTGTGTAGACATTGTGTGTACACGTATAGAAGATGACGCCAGTATTTTGCCTGCTGTACTGTTTTGACAAACGACTGCATTTATTCTTCCTAACAAATGAGTATCAGGGCCTAGATTTTCGAAGCTCTCTTAGCGCTAAGATAGTCATAAGTTAATGTTAATGTATGGCACCTACGACTATCTTAGCGCTAAGAGAGCTTCGAAAATCTAGGCCCAGGACTTTTATCAATCCAGCAATCAATGGGCAATGAATACTATGACGCCGACTTATTACTGTACATGAACAGTGTCATTTTTGTGCCTCTTCGATGATTTTGTAATACTTTCTGTCAACACTGTCTTCCCTCTGCTTGGTTGTGAGGCTAGAGCTAGATACGTGAAGTTGGATTGAAGTAAGGTACGAATCACCGTGTTAAGGCTAGAGCTAGACGACTCACTGTTTTAAGGCTAGAGCTAGACGACTCACTGTTTTGTACCCAGACACTTGTGACCTCACCTTACTTCCCAGCACTGGTTACCCAGACACCTTTTACCTCACCTTACTCCCCAACACGGGTTACCCAGACACTTGTTACCTCACCTTACTCCCCAAGACATACTCCCCAACACTGGTTACCCAGACACTTGTTACCTCACCTTACTCCCAAACACTGGTTACCCAGACACCTTTTACCTCACCTTACTCCCCAACACGGGTTACCCAGACACTTACCCCCACCTTTACCTCACCTGGTTACTTCCCAAACACTGGTTACCCAGACACCTTTTACCTCACCTTACTCCCACAACACTGTTTGCAATACCTCCAGACACTTATTTTTTACTCACAGACACCTTTACCTCACCTTACTCCCCAACACGGGTTACCCAGACACTCGTTACCCCACCTTACTCCCCAACACTGGTTACCCAGACACTTGTTACCTCACCTTACTCCCCAACACGAGTTACCCAGACACTTGTTACCTCACCTTACTCCCCTCAATTGTTATTTGCATTAACACTTGTTAATGAAGACACTTGTTACCTCACCTACATCTCCACAACACTGGTTACCCAGACACTTGTTACCTCACCTTACTCCCCAACACGGGTTACCCAGACACTTGTTACCTCACCTTACTCCCCATCAAGTGTTACCCAGACACGTGTTACCTCACCTTACTCCCCATCAATTGTTACCCAGACACTTGTTACCTCACCTTACTCCCCCATCAATTGTTACCCAGACACGTGTTACCACACTTTATGGTGGCTACCTTACACCCGGTGATGATACGTCACTTGGCTCATTCGTTAACCCACTTGGCTGGGGTGCTGAAACAATATGAACAGATATCATACCCATATTGATATGCACCTGTTTGAAGCAAATGTACATATAGCTACTCGTGAAGACATTAATCGATTAATATATTGATATTAATATTAGTCAGAGAAGTTGACAAACATGTGATGAATATGCATGATAAACACCATGTATCTACTACAAGTGTTGCCTAGTTGAGTGTACAGCAGATTGAAGTGGGTGTTGTGATATTGACACGCTCCACACATATGCTGTAAACCCGACAGTCAGGTTTGTAATACTAATACTTTCTACCACTGTCTATGTATCTTCCAGTGGACACCTACCCAGCGACAAGTCGCCACTTGTTACCTCACTTTACTCCCCAACACAGGTTACCCAGTCACTTGCTTACACACCTTACCCCAAACACGGGTTACACAGTCGCTTGTTACCTCACCTTACTCCCCAACACAGGTTACCCAGTCACTTGCTAACACACCTTACCCCCAACACGGGTTACACAGTCACTTGTTACCCCTCACCTTACTCCCCATCAATTGTTACCCAGACACTTGTTACCTCACCTTACTCCCCAACACGGTTACCCAGTCACTTGCTACCACACCTTTTACTAACCCCAACACAGGTTACCTCACCTTAGTCCCCACACTTGTTACCCAGACACTCACCTTACCTTTTACCCCAACACTGGTTACCCAGACACTTGTTACCTCACCTTACTCCCCAACACGGGTTACCCAGACACACTTACCTCACCTTACTCCCCCAACACTGGTTACCCAGACACTTGTTACCTCACCTTACTCCCCAACACGGGTTACCCAGACACTTGTTACCTCACCTTACTCCCCATCATATTGTTAACCAGACACTTGTTACCTCATCTCCCCTCAATTGTTACCCAGACACTTGTTACCCAGACACTCCCCCCATCAATTGTTACCCAGACACTTGTTACCTCACCTTAATAACCATCAATTGTTACCCAGACACTTGTTACCTCACCTTAGTTCCCATCTGTTCTACCCAGACACTTGTTACCACACCCTACACCACAACACGAGTTACCCAGTCACTTGTTACCCCACCTGACTCCCCAACACAGGTTACCCAGTCACTTGATAACACACTTACCCCCAACACGGGTTACCCAGTCACTTGTTACCTCACCTTACTCCCCATCAATTGTTACCCAGACACTTGCTACCTCACCTTACTCCCCATCAGTTCTTACCCAGATACTTGTTACCTCACCTTACTCCCCATCAGTTGTTACCAAGACGCATGTTAAATCACCTTACTCCCCATCAATTGTTACCCAGACACTTGTTACCTCACCATACTCCCTATCAATTGTTACCCAGACACTTGTTATCTTACCTTACGCTCCATCAGTTGTTACCCAGACGCTTGTTACCTCACCTTACTCCCCATCAGTTGTTACCCAGACGCATGTTTAATCACCTTACTCCCCATCAATTGTTACCCAGACACTTGTTACCTCACCTTACTCCCTATCAATTGTTAACCAGACACTTGTTACCTTACCTTACTCTCCATGAGTTGTTACCCAGACACTTGTTACCTCACCTTACTCCCCATCAATTGTTACCCAGACACTTGTTACCTCACCTTACTCCCCATCAATTGTTACCCAGACACTTGCTACCTCACCTTACTCCCCATCAATTGCTACCCAGATACTTGTTACCTCACCTTACTCCCCATCAGTTGTTACCAAGACGCATGTTAAATCACCTTACTCCCCATCAATTGTTACCCAGACACTTGTTACCTCACCATACTCCCTATCAATTGTTACCCAGACACTTGTTACCTTACCTTACGCTCCATCAGTTGTTACCCAGACGCTTGTTACCTCACCTTACTCCCCATCAGTTGTTACCCAGACGCATGTTTAATCACCTTACTCCCCATCAATTGTTACCCAGACACTTGTTACCTCACCTTACTCCCTATCAATTGTTAACCAGACACTTGTTACCTTACCTTACTCTCCATGAGTTGTTACCCAGACACTTGTTACCTCACCTTACTCCCGTTCAGTTGTTACCCAGACATTTGTTACCTCACCTTACTCCCCATCAATTGTTACCCAGATACTTGTTTCCTCACCTTACTCCCCATCAATTGTTGCCCAGACACTTGTTACCTCACCTTACTCCCCATCAATTGTTACCCAGACAATTGTTACCTCACCTTACTCCCCATCAAGTGTTACACAGTCACTTGTAACATCACCTTACTCCCCATCAATTGTAACCCAGATACTTGTTACCTCACCTTACTCCCCATCAGTTGTTACCCAGACACTTGTTACCTCACCTTACTCCCCATCAATTGTTACCCAGACACTTGTTACCTCACCTTACTCCCCATCAATGGTTACCCAGACACTTGTTACCTCTCCTTACGCCCCATCAATTGTTACCCAGACACTTGATACCTCACTTTACTCACCATCAAATGTTACCAAGATACTTATTAAATCACCTTACTCTCCATCAGTTGTTACCCAGACACTTGTTACCTCACCTTACTCCCCATCAGTTGTAACCCAGACACTTGTTACCTCACCTTACTCCCCATCAATTGTTACCCAGACACTTGTTACCTCACCTTACTCCCCATCAATGGTTACCCAGACACTTGTTACCTCTCCTTACGCCCCATCAATTGTTACCCAGACACTTGTTACCTCACTTAACTCACCATCAATTGTTACCCAGATACTTGTTACCTCACCTTACTCCCCATCAGTTGTTACCCAGACACTTGTTTACCCTCACCATACTACCCACACTTGTTCTTGCACCCAGACATCATGTTACCTCACCTTGTTACCCACCATCATTCCCATCAATTGTTAGACACTTGTCCTCACCTTATCTCCCATCAGTTGTTACCCACCTTGTTACCTCACCCATCCATCTATTGTTACCCAGACACTTGTTACCTCACCTTATCTCCCATCAGTTGTTACCCAGACACTTGTTACCTCACCTTTACTCTCCATCCATTGTTACCCAGACACTTGTTACCTCACCTTTTACTCCCCCATCAAGTGTTACCCAGACGCTTGTTACCCCCACCTTACTCCCCATCAATTGTTACCCAGACACTTGTTACCTCCCATTACTTACCATCAATTGTTACCCAGACACTTGTTGCCTCACCTTACTCCCCATCAATTGTTACCCAGACACGTGTTACCACACTTTATGGGTGGCTACCTACCCGTGTGATGATACGTCACTTGGCTCATCTGTTAACCCACTTGGCTGGGGTGCTGAAACAATATGAACAGATATCATACCCATATTGATATGCACCTGTTTGAAGCAAATGTACATATAGCTACTCGTGAAGACATTAATCGATTAATATATTGATATTAATATTAGTCTGAGAAGTTGACAAACATGTGATAAATATGCATAATAAACACCATGTATCTACTACAAGTGTTGCCTAGTTGAGTGTACAGCAGATTGAAGTGGGTGTTGTGATATTGACACGCTCCACACATATGCTGTAAACCCGACAGTCAGGTTTGTTATACCAATACTTTCTACCACTGTCATGTATCTTTCCAGTGGACACCCTACCCAGTGACAAGTCGCCACTTGTTACCTCACTTTACTCCCCAACACAGGTTACCCAGTCACTTGCTTACACACCTTACCCCTAACACGGGTTACTCAGTCGCTTGTTACCTCACCTTACTCCCCATCAATTGTTACCCAGACACTTGTTACCTCACCTTACCCCCAACACAGGTTACCCAGTCACTTGTTACCCCACCTTACTCCCCAACACAGGTTACCCAGTCACTTGCTAACACAAGTTACCCCCAACACGGGTTACACAGTCACTTGTTACCTCACCTTACTCCCCATCAATTGTTACCCAGACACTTGTTACCTCACCTTACCCCCAACACGGGTTACCCAGTGACTTGTCGCCCCACCTTACTCCCCAACACAGGTTACCCAGTCACACTTACCTCACCTTACTCCCCAACACTGGTTACCCAGACACTTGTTACCTCACCTTACTCCCCAACACGGGTTACCCAGACACTTGTTACCTCACCTTACTCCCCAACATTGGTTAACCAGACACTTGTTACCTCACCTTACTCCCCATCAATTGTTACCCAGACACTTGTTACCTCAGCTTACTCCCCATCAATTGTTACCCAGACACTTGTTACCTCACCTTAATAACCATCAATTGTTACCCAGACACTTGTTACCTCACCTTAGTTCCCATCAATTGTTACCCAGACACTTGTTACATCACCTTACTCCCCATCAGTTCTTACCCAGACACTTGTTACCTCACCCTACCCACAACACGAGTTACCCAGTCACTTGTTACCCCACCTGACTCCCCAACACAGGTTACCCAGTCACTTGCTAACACACTTTACCCCCAACACGGGTTACCCAGTCACTTGTTACCTCACCTTACTCCCCATCAATTGTTACCCAGACACCTGCTACCTCACCTTACTCCCCATCAGTTCTTACCCAGATACTTGTTACCTCACCTTACTCCCCATCAGTTGTTACCAAGACGAATGTTAAATCACCTTACTCCCCATCAATTGTTACCCAGACACTTGTTACCTCACCATACTCTCTATCAATTGTTACCCAGACACTTGTTACCTTACCTTACTCTCCATCAGTTGTTACCCAGACGCTTGTTACCTCACCTTACTCCCCATCAGTTGTTACCCAGACGCATGTTTAATCACCTTACTCCCCATCAATTGTTACCCAGACACTTGTTACCTCACCTTACTCCCTATCAATTGTTACCCAGACACTTGTTACCTTTTACCTTACTCTCCATGAATTGTTACCTCACCTACCCAGACACTTGTTACCCTCACCTTACTCCCAATCAATTGTTACCCAGACACTTGAGCCACTCTTACCTCACCTTACTCCTGTTCAGTTGTTACCCAGACACTTGTTACCTCACCTTACTCCCCATCAATTGTTACCCAGATACTTGTTTCCTCACCTTACACCCCATCAAGTGTTACACAGTCACTTGTAACCTCACCTTACTCCCCATCAATTGTAACCCAGACACTTGTTACCTCACCTTACTCCCCGTCAGTTGTTACCCAGACACTTCTTACCTCACCTTACTCCCCATCAGTTGTAACCCAGACACTTGTTACCTCACCTTACTCCCCATCAATTGTTACCCAGACACTTGTTACCTCACCTTACTCCCCATCAATGGTTACCCAGACACTTGTTACCTCTCCTTACGCCCCATCAATTGTTACCCAGACACTTGTTACCTCACTTTACTCACCATCAAATGTTACCAAGATACTTGTTACCTCACCTTACTCCCCATCAGTTGTTACCCAGACACTTGTTACCTCACCTTACTAACCATCAGTTCTTACCCAGACACTTGTTACCTCACCTTACTCACCATCATTTGTAAACCAGACACTTGTTACCTCACCTTACTCCCCATCAATTGTTACCCAGACACTTGTTACCTCACCTTATCTCCCATCAGTTGTTACCCAGACACTTGTTACCTCACCTTACTCCCGATCCATTGTTACCCAGACGCTTGTTACCTCACCTTATCTCCCATCAGTTGTTACCCAGACACTTGTTACCTCACCTTACTCCAGATCCATTGTTACCCAGACACTTGTTACCTCACCTTACTCCCCATCAAGTGTTACCCAGACGCTTGTTACCTCACCTTACTCCCCATCAATTGTTACCCAGACACGTGTTACCTCACCTTACTCCCCATCAATTGTTACCCAGACACTTGTTGCCTCACCTTACTCCCCATCAATTGTTACCCAGACACGTGTTACCACACTTTATGGGTGGCTACCTACCCGGTGATGATACGTCACTTGGCTCATTCGTTAACCCACTTGGCTGGGGTGCTGAAACAATATGAACAGATATCATACCCATATTGATATGCACCTGTTTGAAGCAAATGTACATATAGCTACTCGTGAAGACATTAATCGATTAATATATTGATATTAATATTAGTCTGAGAAGTTGACAAACATGTGATAAATATGTATAATAAACACCATGTATCTACTACAAGTGTTGCCTAGTTGAGTGTACAGCAGATTGAAGTGGGTGTTGTGATATTGACACGCTCCACACATATGCTGTAAACCCGACAGTCAGGTTTGTTATACCAATACTTTCTACCACTGTCTATGTATCTTCCAGTGGACACTCTTACCCAGCGACAAGTTGCCACTCTGTCACCTCTCTTTACTACCCCCAACACAGGTTACCCAGTCACTTCCTAACACACCTTTTTACCCCAAACACGGGTTACCCAGTCGCTTGTTACCTCACCTTTTCACCATCAATTATAACCCAGACACTTGTTAACTCCACCTTACTCCCCCATCAATTGTTACCTCAGACACTTGCTACTCCCACTTTTATTGACCATCAATTGTTACCCAGATACTTGCCTACCACCTTACTCCCCCCCATCAGTTGTTACCCACACACTTGTTACCTCACCTTACTCCCCATCAGTTCTTACCCAGACACTTGTTACCTCACCTTACTCCCCATCATTTGTAAACCAGACACTTGTTACCTCACCTTACTCCCCATCAATTGTTACCCAGACACTTGTACCTCACCTTACTCCCCATCAATTGTTACCCAGATACTTGTTACCTCACTTTACGCCCCATCGATTGTTACCCAGACACTTGTTACCTCACCTTACTCCCCATCAATGGTTACCCAGACACTTGTTACCTCTCCTTACGCCCCATCAATTGTTACCCAGACACTTGTTACCTCACTTTACTCACCATCAATTGTTACCCAGATACTTGTTACCTCACCTTACTCCCCATCAGTTGTTACCCAGACACTTGTTACCTCACCTTACTCCCCATCAGTGGTTACCCAGACACTTGTTACCTCACCTTACTCCCCATCATTTGTAAACCAGACACCTGTTACCTCACCTTACTCCCCATCAATTGTTACCCAGACACTTGTTACCTCACCTTACTCCCCATCAACTGTTACCCAGACACTTGTTACCTCACCTTACGCCCCATCGATTGTTACCCAGACACTTGTTACCTCACTTTACTCACCATCAATTGTTACCCAGATACTTGTTACCTTACCTTACTCCCCATCAGTTGTTACCCAGACACTTGTTACCTCACCTTACTCCCCATCAATTGTTACCCAGACACTTGTTACCTCACCTTACTCCCATCAATTGTTACCCAGACACTTGTTACCTCACCTTACTCCCCATCACTTGTTACCCAGACACTTGTTACCTCACCTTACTCCCCATCAATTGTTACCCAGACGCTTGTTACCTCACCTTACTCCCCATCAATTGTTACCCAGACACTTGTTACCTCACCTTACTCCCCATCAATGGTTACCCAGACACTTGTTATCTCACCTTACTCTCCATCAATTGTTACCCAGACGCTTGTTACCTCACCTTACTCCCCATCAGTTGTTACCCAGACGCTTGTTACCTCACCTTACTCCCGATCCATTGTTACCCAGACACTTGTTACCTCACTTTACTCCTCCACATCAAGTTGTTACCCAGACACTTGTTACCTTACCTTACTCCCCCAAGTTGTTACCCAGACGCTTGTTACCTCACCTTACTCCCCCATCAATTGTTACCCAGACACTTGTTACCTCACCTTACTCCCCCATCAATTGTTACCTCAGACACGTGTTACCACACTTTATGGGTGGCTGCACCCGGTGATGATACGTCACTTGGCTCATTCTGTTAACCCACTTGGCTGGGGGTGCTGAAACAATATGAACAGATATCATACCCATATTGATATGCACCTGTTTGAAGCAAATGTACATATAGCTACTGTGAAGACATTAATCGATTAATATATTGATATTAATATTAGTCTGAGAAGTTGACAAACATGGGATAAATATGCATAATAAACACCATGTATCTACTACAAGTGTTGCCTTAGTTGAGTGTACAGCAGATTGAAGTGGGTGTTGTGGATATTGACACGCTCCACACATATGCTGTAAAACCTGACAGTCAGGTTTGTTATACCAATACTTTCTACCACTGTCTATGTATCTTTCCAGTGGACATTCTACCCAGCGACAAGTCGCCACTTGTCAACCTCTCTCTCTTTACTCCCCAACACAGGTTACCCAGTCACTTGCTAACACACCTACCCCAAACACGGGTTACCCAGTCTCTTGTTACCTCACCTTTCTCCCCCATCAATTGTTACCCAGACACTTGTTACCCCACTTTTACTCCCACATCAGCTCCTTACCCAGACACTTGTTACCTTACCTTACTCCCCATCAGTTGTTACCCAGACGCTGGTTACCTCACCTTACTCCAGATCCATTGTTACCGAGACACTTGTTACCTTACCTTACTCCACATCAAGTGTTACCCAGACGCTTGTTACCTCACCTTACTCCACATCAATTGTTACCCAGACGCTTGTTATCTCACCTTACTCCCCATCAATTGTTACCGAGACACTTGTTACCTCACCTTACCCCAAACACGGGTTACCCAGTCGCTTGTTACCTCACCTTACTCCCCATCAATTGTTACCCAGACATTTGTTACCTCACCTTACCCCCAACACAGGTTACCCAGTCACTTGTTACCCCACCTTACTCCCCAACACCGGTTACCCAGTCACTTGCTAACACACCTTACCCCCAACACGGGTTACACAGTCACTTGTTACCTCACCTTACTCCACATCAAGTGTTACCCAGACGCTTGTTACCCCACCTTACTCCCCATCAATTGTTACCCAGACGCTTGTTACTACTCACCTTACTCCCCATCAATTGTTACCGAGACACTTGTTACCTCACTTTACTCCACATCAGTTGTTACCCAGTCACTTGCTAACACACCTTACCCCAAACACGGGTTACCCAGTCGCTTGTTACCTCACCTTATTCCCCATCAATTGTTACCCAGACATTTGTTACCTCACCTTACCCCCCCAACACAGGTTACCCAGTCACTTGTTACCCCACCTTACTCCCCAACACCGGTTACCCAGTCACTTGCTAACACACCTTACCCCCAACACGGGTTACACAGTCACTTGTTACCTCACCTTACTCCACATCAAGTGTTACCCAGACGCTTGTTACCTCACCTTACTCCCCATCAATTGTTACCCAGACGCTTGTTATCTCACCTTACTCCCCATCAATTGTTACCGAGACACTTGTTTCCTCACCTTACTCCCCATCAATTGTTACCCTGACGCTTGTTATTCTCACCTTACCCACATCAATTGTTACCTAAGACACTTGTTACCTCACCTTACTCCCCCAACATCAGTCACTTTTGTTACAGTCACTTGTTACTAACAAACCTACTCCCCAAACACGGCTACCCAGTCGCTTGTTACCTCACCTTACTCCCCATCAATTGTTACCCAGACACTTGTTACCTCACCTTACCCCCCAACACACAGGTTACCCAGTCACTTGTTACCCCACCTACTCCCCCAACACCGGTTACCCAGTCACTTGCTAACACACTTTTACCCGCCAACACGGGTTACACAGTCACTCTGTTACCTCACCTTACTCCCCATCAATTGTTACCCAGACACTTGTTACCTCACCTACCCCAACACGGGTTACCCATTGACTTGTCGCCCCACCCTTACTCCCCCAACACAGGTTACCTTAGTCACACTTTACCCCACCTTACTCCCCAACACTGGTTACCCAGACACTTGTTACCTCACCTTACTCCCCAACACGGGTTACCCAGACACTTGTTACCTCACCTCACTCCCCAACACGGGTTACCCAGACACTTGTTACCTCAACTTACTCCCCATCACGGGTTCTTACCCAGACGCTTGTTACCTCACCTTACTCCCCATCAATTGTTACCCAGACGCTTGTTACCTCACCTTATCTCCCATCAGTTGTTACCCAGACACTTGTTACCTCACCTTACTCCCCATCAATTGTTACCCAGACACTTGTTACCTCACCTTACTCCCCATCAATTGTTACCCAGACACTTGTTACCTCACCTTACTCCCCATCAATTGTTACCCAGACACTTGTTACCTCACCTTACTCCCCATCAATTGTTACCCAGACACGTGTTACCACACTTTATGGGTGGCTACCTACCCGGTGATGATACGTCACTTGGCTCATTCGTTAACCCACTTGGCTGGGGTGCTGAAACAATATGAACAGATATCATACCCATATTGATATGCACCTGTTTGAAGCAAATGTACATATAGCTACTCGTGAAGACATTAATCGATTAATATATTGATATTAATATTAGTCTGAGAAGTTGACAAACATGGGATAAATATGCATAATAAACACCATGTATCTACTACAAGTGTTGCCTAGTTGAGTGTACAGCAGATTGAAGTGGGTGTTGTGATATTGACACGCTCCACACATATGCTGTAAACCCGACAGTCAGGTTTGTTATACCAATACTTTCTACCACTGTCTATGTATCTTTCCAGTGGACACCTACCCAGCGACAAGTCGCCACTTGTCACCTCTCTTTACTCCCCAACACAGGTTACCCAGTCACTTGCTAACACACCTTACCCCAAACACGGGTTACCCAGTCGCTTGTTACCTCACCTTTCTCCCCATCAATTGTTACCCAGACACTTGTTACCTTACTTTACTCCCCATCAGTTCTTACCCAGACACTTGTTACCTTACCTTACTCCCCATCAGTTGTTACCCAGACGCTTGTTACCTCACCTTACTTCCCATCCCTTGTTACCCAGACACTTGTTACCTCACCTTACTCCACATCAAGTGTTACCCAGACGCTTGTTACCTCACCTTACTCCCCATCAATTGTTACCCAGACGCTTGTTATCTCACCTTACTCCCCATCAATTGTTACCGAGACACTTGTTACCTCACTTTACTCCACATCAGTTGTTACCCAGTCACTTGCTTACAAACCTTACCCCAAACACGGGTTACCCAGTCGCTTGTTACCTCACCTTACTCCCCATCAATTGTTACCCAGACACTTGTTACCTCACCTTACCCCCAACACAGGTTACCCAGTAACTTGTTACCTCACCTTATTTCCCCAACACCGGTTACCCAGACACTTGACCTCACCTTACCCCCCAACACGGGTTACACAGACACTTGTTACCTCACCTTACTATCCCATCAATTGTTGTCACCAGACACTTGTTACCTCACCTTACTCCCCAACACGGGTTACCCATTGACTTGTCGCCCCACCTTACTCCCCAACACAGGTTATCCAGTCAAACTTACCTCACCTTACTCCCCAACACTGGTTACCCAGACACTTGTTACCTCACTTTACTCCCCAACATGGGTTACCCAGACACTTGTTACCTCACCTCACTCCCCAACACGGGTTACCCTGACACTTGTTACCTCACCTTACTCCCCATCAGTTCTTACCCAGACGCTTGTTACCTCACCTTACTCCCCATCAATTGTTACCCAGACACTTGTTACCTCACTTTACTCCACATCAGTTGTTATCCAGACACTTGTTACCTCACCTTACTCCCCATCAATTCTTACCCAAACGCTTGTTACCTCACCTTATCTCCCATCAGTTGTTACCCAGACACTTGTTACCTCACCTTACTCCCGATCCATTGTTACCCAGACACTTGTTACCTCACCTTACTCCCCATCAAGTGTTACCCAGACGCTTGTTACCTCACCTTACTCCCCATCAATTGTTACCCAGACACTTGTTACCTCACCTTACTTTCCATCAATTGTTACCCAGACACTTGTTACCTCACCTTACTCCCCATCAAGTGTTACCCAGACACGTGTTACCACACTTTATGGGTGGCTACCTACCCGGTGATGATACGTCACTTGGCTCATTCGTTAACCCACTTGGCTGGGGTGCTGAAACAATATGAACAGATATCATACCCATATTAATATGCACCTGTTTGAAGCAAATGTACATATAGCTACTCGTGAAGACATTAATCGATTAATATATTGATATTAATATTAGTCTGAGAAGTTGACAAACATGGGATAAATATGCATAATAAACACCATGTATCTACTACAAGTGTTGCCTAGTTGAGTGTACAGCAGATTGAAGTGGGTGTTGTGATATTGACACGCTCCACACATATGCTGTAAACCCGACAGTCAGGTTTGTTATACCAATACTTTCTACCACTGTCTATGTATCTTTCCAGTGGACACCTACCCAGCGACAAGTCGCCACTTGTCACCTCTCTTTACTCCCCAACACAGGTTACCCAGTCACTTGCTAACACACCTTACCCCAAACACGGGTTACCCAGTCGCTTGTTACCTCACCTTTCTCCCCATCAATTGTTACCCAGACACTTGTTACCTCACTTTACTCCCCATCAGTTCTTACTCAGACACTTGTTACCTTACCTTACTCCCCATCAGTTGTTACCCAGACGCTGGTTACCTCAACTTACTCCCGATCCATTGTTACCCAGACACTTGTTACCTCACCTTAATCCCCATCAGTTGTTACCCAGACGCTTGTTATCTCACCTTACTCCCCATCAATTGTTACCGAGACACTTGTTACCTCACTTTACTCCACATCAATTGTTACCCAGTCACTTGCTAACACACCTTACCCCAAACACGGGTTACCCAGTCGCTTGTTACCTCACCTTACTCCCCATCAATTGTTACCCAGACACTTGTTACCCTCACCTTTTACTCCCCCAACACAGGTTACCCAGTCACTTGTTACCCCACCTTACTCCCCAACACCGGTTACCCAGTCACTTGCTAACACACCTTACCCCCAACACGGGTTACACAGTCACTTGTTACCTCACCTTACTCCCCATCAATTGTTACCCAGACACTTGTTACCTCACCTTACCCCCATCACGGGTTACCCATTGACTTGTCGCCCCACCTTACTCCCCAACACAGGTTACCCAGTCACACTTACCTCACCTTACTCCCCAACACTGGTTACCCAGACACTTGTTACCTCACTTTACTCCCCAACACGGGTTACCCAGACACTTGTTACCTCACCTCACTCCCCAACACGGGTTACCCAGACACTTGTTACCTCACCTTACTCCCCAACACTTGTTACCTCACTTTACCCCCTACACGGGTTACCCAGACACTTGTTGCCGCACCTTACTCCCCAACACGGGTTACCCAGACACTTGTTACCTCACTTTACTCCCCATCAATTGTTACAAGACACTTTTTACCTCAGCTTACTCCCCATCAATTCTTACCCAGACACTTGTTACCTCACCTTACCCCCAACACGGGTTACCCATTGACTTGTCGCCCCACCTTACTCCCCAACACAGGTTACCCAGTCACACTTACCTCACCTTACTCCCCAACACTGGTTACCCAGACACTTGTTACCTCACTTTACTCCCCAACACGGGTTACCCAGACACTTGTTACCTCACCTCACTCCCCAACACGGGTTACCCAGACACTTGTTACCTCACCTTACTCCCCATCAGTTGTTACCCAGACGCTTGTTACCTCACCTTACTCCCCATCAAGGGTTACCCAGACGCTTGTTACCTCACCTTACTCCCCATCAAGGGTTACCCAGACGCTTGTTACCTCACCTTACTCCCCATCAATTGTTACCCAGACACTTGTTACCTCACTTTACTCCACATCAGTTGTTATCCAGACGCATGTTACCTCACCTTACTCCCCATCAATTGTTACCCAGACGCTTGTTACCTCACCTTACTCCCCATCTGTTGTTACCCAGACACTTGTTACCTCACCTTACTCCCGATCCATTGTTACCCAGACACTTGTTACCTCACCTTACTCCCCATCAAGTGTTACCCAGACGCTTGTTACCTCACCTTACTCCCCATCAATTGTTACCCAGACACTTGTTACCTCACCTTACTCCCCATCAATTGTTACCCAGACACTTGTTACCTCACCTTACTCCCCATCAATTGTTACCCAGACACGTGTTACCACACTTCATGGGTGGCTACCTACCCGGTGATGATACGTCACTTGGCTCATTCTGTTAACCCACTTGGCTGGGTGCTGAAACAATATGAACAGATATCATACCCATATTGATATGCACCTGTTTGAAGCTAAATGTACATATAGCTACTCGTGAAGACATTAATCGATTAATATATTGATATTAATATTAGTCTGAGAAGTTGACAAACATGGGATAAATATGCATAATAAACACCATGTATCTACTACAAGTGTTGCCTAGTTGAGTGTACAGCAGATTGAAGTGGGTGTTGTGATATTGACACGCTCCACACATATGCTGTAAACCCGACAGTCAGGTTTGTTATACCAATACTTTCTACCACTGTCTATGTATCTTTCCAGTGGACACCTACCCAGCGACAAGTCGCCACTTGTCACCTCTCTTTACTCCCCAACACAGGTTACCCAGTCACTTGCTAACACACCTTACCCCAAACACGGGTTACCCAGTCGCTTGTTACCTCACCTTTCTCCCCATCAATTGTTACCCAGACACTTGTTACCTCACTTTACTCCACATCAGTTCTTACCCAGACACTTGTTACCTTACCTTACTCCCCATCAGTTGTTACCCAGACGCTTGTTACCTCACCTTAGTCCCCATCCATTGTTACCCAGACACTTGTTACCTCACCTTACTCCCGATCCATTGTTACCCCGACTCTTGTTACCTCACCTTACTCAACATCAAGTGTTACCCAGACGCTTGTTACCTCACCTTACTCCCAATCAGTTGTTACCCAGACGCTTGTTATCTCACCTTACTCCACATCAAGTGTTACCGAGACACTTGTTACCTCACCTTACTCCACATCAGTTGTTACCCAGACACTTGTTACCTCACTTTACTCCACATCAGTTGTTACCCAGTCACTTGCTAACACACCTTACCCCAAACACGGGTTACCCAGTCGCTTGTTACCTCACCTTACTCCCCATCAATTGTTACCCAGACACTTGTTACCTCACCTTACCCCCAACACAGGTTACCCAGTCACTTGTTACCCCACCTTACTCCCCAACACCGGTTACCCAGTCACTTGCTAACACACCTTACCCCCAACACGGGTTACACAGTCACTTGTTACCTCACCTTACTCCCCATCAATTGTTACCCAGACACTTGTTACCTCACCTTACCCCCATCACGGGTTACCCATTGACTTGTCGCCCCACCTTACTCCCCAACACAGGTTACCCAGTCACACTTACCTCACCTTACTCCCCAACACTGGTTACCCAGACACTTGTTACCTCACCTTACTCCCCAACACGGGTTACCCAGACACTTGTTGCCGCACCTTACTCCCCAACACGGGTTACCCAGACACTTGTTACCTCACTTAACTCCCCATCAATTGTTACCAGACACTTGTTACCTCAGCTTACTCCCCATCAATTGTTACCCAGACACTTGTTACCTCACCTTACCCCCATCACGGGTTACCTACTGACTTGTCGCCCCACCTTACTCCCCCAACACAGGTTACCCAGTCACACTTACCTCACCTTACTCCCCAACACTGGTTACCCAGACACTTGTTACCTCACTTTACTCCCCAACACGGGTTACCCAGACGCTTGTTATCTCACCTTACTCCACATCAATTGTTACCGAGACACTTGTTACCTCACTTTACTCCCCATCAGTTGTTACCCAGTCACTTGCTAACACACCCTTACCCCAAACACGGGTTACCCAGTCGCTTGTTACCTCACCTTACTCCCCATCAATTGTTACCCAGACACTTGTTACCTCACCTTACCCCCAACACAGGTTACCCAGTCACTTGTTACCCCACCTTACTCCCCAACACAGGTTACCCAGTCACTTGCTAACACACCTTACCCCCAACACGGGTTACACAGTCACTTGTTACCTCACCTTACTCCCCATCAATTGTTACCCAGACACTTGTTACCTCACCTTACCCCCATCACGGGTTACCCATTGACTTGTCGCCCCACCTTACTCCCCAACACAGGTTACCCAGTCACACTTACCTCACCTTACTCCCCAACACTGGTTACCCAGACACATGTTACCTCACCTTACTCCCCAACACGGGTTACCCAGACACTTGTTACCTCACCTTACTCCCCAACACGGGTTACCCACACACTTGTTGCCGCACCTTACTCCCCAACACGGGTTACCCAGACACTTGTTACCTCACTTAACTCCCCATCAATTGTTACCAGACACTTGTTACCTCAGCTTACTCCCCATCAATTGTTACCCAGACACTTGTTACCTCACCTTACCGCCATCACGGGTTACCCATTGACTTGTCGCCCCACCTTACTCCCCAACACAGGTTACCCAGTCACACTTACCTCACCTTACTCCCCAACACTGGTTACCCAGACACTTGTTACCTCACTTTACTCCCCAACACGGGTTACCCAGACGCTTGTTATCTCACCTTACTCCACATCAAGTGTTACCGAGACACTTGTTACCTCACTTTACTCCACATCAGTTGTTACCCAGTCACTTGCTAACAAACCTTACCCCAAACACGGGTTACCCAGTCGCTTGTTACCTCACCTTACTCCCCATCAATTGTTACCCAGACACTTGTTACCTCACCTTACCCCCAACACAGGTTACCCAGTCACTTGTTACCCCACCTTACTCCCCAACACCGGTTACCCAGTCACTTGCTAACACACCTTACCCCCAACACGGGTTACACAGTCACTTGTTACCTCACCTTACTCCCCATCAATTGTTACCCAGACACTTGTTACCTCACCTTACCCCCAACACGGGTTACCCATTTTGTCGCCCCACCTTACTTCCCCAACACAGGTTACCCAGTCACACCTTACCTCACCTTACTCCCCAACACTGGTTACCCAGACACTTGTTACCTCACTTTACTCCCCAACACGGGTTACCCAGACACTTGTTACCTCACCTCACTCCCCAACACGAGTTACCCAGACACTTGTTACCTCACCTTACCCCCAACACGGGTTACCCAGTGACTTGTTGCCCGACCTTACTCCCCAACACAGGTTACCCAGTCACACTTACCTCACCTTACTCCCCAACACGGGTTACCCAGACACTTGTTACCTCACCTAACTCCCCAACATTGGTTACCCAGACACTTGTTGCCGCACCTTACTCCCCAACACGGGTTACCCAGACACTTGCTACCTCACCTTACTCCCCATGAATTGTTACCCAGAAACTTGTTACCTCACCTTACTCCCCATCAATTGTTACCCAGACACCTGTTACCTCACCTTAATAACCATCAATTGTTACCCAGACACTTGTTCCCTCACCTTAGTCCCCATCAATTGTTACCCAGACACTTGTTACCTCACCTTACTCCCCAACACGGGTTACCCAGACACTTGTTACCTCACCTTACTTCCCAACAGGGGATACCCAGACACTTGTTACCTCACCTTACTCTCCATCAATTGTTACCCAGACACTTGTTACCTCTACTTACTCCCCAACACAGGTCACCCAGACACTTGTTACCTCACTTTACTCCCCATCAATTGTTACCAGACACTTGTTACCTCAGCTTACTCCCCATCAATTGTTACCCAGACACTTGTTACCTCACCTTACCCCCATCACGGGTTACCCATTGACTTGTCGCCCCACCTTACTCCCCAACACAGGTTACCCAGTCACACTTACCTCACCTTACTCCCCTAACACTGGTTACCCAGACACTTGTTACCTCACTTTACTCCCCAACACGGGTTACCCAGACACTTGTTACCTCACCTCACTCCCCAACACGGGTTACCCAGACACTTGTTACCTCACCTTACGCCCAACACGGGTTACCCAGTGACTTGTTGCCCGACCTTACTCCCCAACACAGGTTACCCAGTCACACTTACCTCACCTTACTCCCCAACACGGGTTACCCAGACACTTGTTACCTCACCTAACTCCCCAACATTGGTTACCCAGACACTTGTTGCCGCACCTTACTCCCCAACACGGGTTACCCAGACACTTGTTACCTCACCTTACTCCCCAACATTGGTTAACCTGACACTTGTTACTTCACCTTACTCCCCATCAATTGTTACCCAGAAACTTGTTACCTCACCTTACTCCCCATCAATTGTTACCCAGACACCTGTTACCTCACCTTAATAACCATCAATTGTTACCCAGACACTTGTTCCCTCACCTTAGTCCCCATCAATTGTTTCCCAGACACTTGTTACCTCACCTTACTCCCCAACACGGGTTACCCAGACACTTGTTACCTCACCTTACTTCCCAACAGGGGATACCCAGACACTTCTTACCTCACCTTACTCTCCATCAATTGTTACCCAGACACTTGTTACCGCACCTTACTCCCCAACACATGTTGCACAGTCACTTGTTACCTCACCTTACTACCCATCAATTGTTAGCCAGACACTTGTTACCTCACCTTACTCCCCATCAATTGTTACCCAGACACTTGTTACCTCACCTTACCCCCAACACGGGTTACCCAGTAACACTAACCTCACCTTACTCCCCAACACGAGTTACCAAGACACTTGTTACCTCACCTTACTCCCCAACACTGGTTACCCAGACACTTGTTACCTCACCTTACTCCCCAACACTGGTTACTAAGACACTTGTTACCTCACCTTGCTCCCCAACACTGGTTACCCACCCACTTTTTCCTCACCTTACTCCCCAACACGGGTTACTAAGACACTTGTTACCTCACCTTACTCCCCATCAATTGTTACCCAGACACTTGTTACCTCACCTTACTCCCCATCAATTGTTACCCAGATACTTGTTACCTCACCTTACTCCCCAACACAGGTTACCCAGTCACTTGCTAACACACCTTACCCACAACACGGGTTACACAGTCACTTGTTACCTCACCTTACTCCCCATCCATTGTTACCCAGACACTTGTTACCTCACCTTACCCCCAACACGGGTTACCCAGTAACACTTACCTCACCTTACTCCCCAACACTGGTTACCCAGAGACTTGTTACCTCACCTTACTCCCCAACACGGGTTACACAGACACTTGTTACCTCAACTTACTCCCCAACATTGGTTACCCAGAGATTTGTTACCTCACCTTACTCCCCAACACGGGTTACACAGACACTTGTTACCTCAACTTACTCCCCAACATTGGTTACCCAGAGATTTGTTACCTCACCTTACTCCCCAACACGGGTTACACAGACACTTGTTACCTCAACTTACTCCCGATCCATTGTTACCCAGACACTTGTTACCTCACCTTACTCCCCATCACGTGTTACCCAGACGCTTGTTACCTCACCTTACTCCCCATCAATTGTTACCCAGACACTTGTTACCTCACCTTACTCCCCATCAAGTGTTACCCAGACACGTGTTACCTCACCTTACTCCCCATCAATTGTTACCCAGACACTTGTTACCTCACCTTACTCCCCATCAAGTGTTACCCAGACACGTGTTACCTCACCTTACTCCCCATCAATTGTTACCCAGACACTTGTTACCTCACCTTACTCCCCATCAATTGTTACCCAGACACGTGTTACCACACTTTATGGGTGGCTACCTACCCGCTGATGATACGTCACTTGGCTCATTCGTTAACCCACTTGGCTGGGGTGCTGAAACAATATGAACAGATATCATACCCATATTGATATGCACCTGTTTGAAGCAAATGTACATATAGCTACTCGTGAAGACATTAATCGATTAATATATTGATATTAATATTAGTCTGAGAAGTTGACAAACATGGGATAAATATGCATAATAAACACCATGTATCTACTACAAGTGTTGCCTAGTTGAGTGTACAGCAGATTGAAGTGGGTGTTGTGATATTGACACGCTCCACACATATGCTGTAAACCCGACAGTCAGGTTTGTTATACCAATACTTTCTACCACTGTCTATGTATCTTTCCAGTGGACACCTACCCAGCGACAAGTCGCCACTTGTTACCTCACTTTACTCCCCAACACAGGTTACCCAGTCACTTGCTAACACACCTTACCCCAAACACGGGTTACCCAGTCGCTTGTTACCTCACCTTACTCCCCATCAATTGTTACCCAGACACTTGTTACCTCACCTTACCCCCAACACAGGTTACCCAGTCACTTGTTACCCCACCTTACTCCCCATCACAGGTTACCCAGTCACTTGCTAACACACCTTACCCCCAACACGGGTTACACAGTCACTTGTTACCTCACCTTACTCCCCATCAATTGTTTCCCAGACACTTGTTACCTCACCTCACTCCCCAACACGGGTTACCCAGACACTTGTTACCTCACCTTACTCCCCAACACCGTTACCCAGACACTTGTTGACCGCACCTTACTCCCCAACACGGGTTACCCAGACACTTGTTACCTCACCTTACTCCCCAACACTTGTTACCCAGACACTTGTTGCCGCACCTTACTCCCCAACACGGGATACCCAGACACTTGTTACCTCACTTTACTCCCCATCAATTGTTACCAGACACTTGTTACCTCACCTTAATAACCATCAATTGTTACCCAGACACTTGTTACTTCACCTTACTCCCCATCAATTGTTACCCAGACGCTTGTTACCTCACCTTACTCCCCATCAATTGTTACCCAGACACTTGTTACCTCACCTTACTCCCCATCAATTGTTACCTAGACACTTGTTACCTCACCTTACCCCCAACACAGGTTACCCAGTCACTTGTTACCCCACCTTACTCCCCAACACAGGTTACCCAGTCACTTGCTAACACACCTTACCCCAAACACGGGATACACAGTCACTTGTTACCTCACCTTACTCCCCATCAATTGTTACCCAGACACTTGCTACCTCACCTTACCCCCAACACGGGTTACCCAGTGACTTGTTGCCCGACCTTACTCCCCAACACAGGTCACCCAGTCACACTTACCTCACCTTACTCCCCAACACTGGTTACCCAGACACTTGTTACCTCACCTTACTCCCCAACACGGGTTACCCAGACACTTGTTACCTCACCTTACTCCCCAACATTGGTTACCCATACACTTGTTGCCGCACCTTACTCCCCAACGCGGGTTACCAAGACACTTGTTACCTCACCTTACTTCAATTGTTCAATTGTTACCCAGACACTTGTTACCTTAGTTTACTCCCCCATCAATTGTTACCCACACACCTGTTACCTCACCTTAATAACCTTCAATTGTTACCCAGACACTTGTTCCCTCACCTTAGTCCCCATCAATTGTTACCCAGACACTTGTTACCTCACCTTACTCCCCATCAATTGTTACCCAGACACTTGTTACCTCACCTTACTCCCCAACACGGGTTACCCAGACACTTGTTACCTCACCTTACTCCCAACACGGGTTACCCAGACACTTGTTACCTCACATCAATTGTTAGCTAGACACTTGTTACCTCACCTTACTTCCCAACACGGGTTACCCAGACACTTGTTACCTCACTTGTTATCCCACCTACTCCCCCAACACACTTGTTACCCAGTACCCCCAACACACTTACCTCACCTTAATCCCTCACCTTACACTTGTTACCCAGAGACTTGTTACCTCACCTTACTCCCCAACACGGGTTACACAGACACTTGTTACCTCAACTTACTCCCCAAGATTGGTTACCCAGTCACACTTACCTCACCTTACTCCCCAACACGGGTTACCCAGACACTTGTTACCTCTCCTTACGCCCCATCAATTGTTACCCAGACACTTGTTACCTCATGTTACTCCCCAGCACGGGTTACCCATACACTTGTTACCTCACCTTACTCTCCATCAATTGTTACCCAGACACTTGTTACCACAGCTTACTCCCTCCAATGGTTACCGAGACACTTGTTACCTCACCTTACTCCCCAACACTGGTTACCCAGACACTTGTTACCTCACCTTGCTCACCAACACGTGTTACCCAGACACTTGTTACCTCACCTTACTCCCAATCAATTGTTACCAAAACACTTGTTACCTCACCTTACTCCCCAAAACAGGTTACCTAGCCACTTGTTACCCCACCTTACTCCCCAAACCGGTTACCCAATCACTTGTTACCTCACCTTACTCCCCAACACGGGTTACCCAGTCTCTTGTTACCTCACCTTTCTCCCCAACCCTGGTTACTAAGTCACTTGTTACCTCACTTTACTCCCCAACACGGGTTACCCAGTCACTTGCTAACACACCTTACCCCCAACACGGATTACCCAGTCACTTGTTACCTCACCTTACTCCCCATCAATTGCTTCCCAGACACTTGTTACCTCACCTTACTCTCCATCAATTGTTACCCAGACACTTGTTTACCTCACCTTACTCCCCAACACGTGTTACCCAGAGACTTGTACCACACCTTACTCCCTCCAATGGTTACCCAGACACTTGTTACCTCACCTTACTCTCCATCAATTGTTACCCAGACACTTTTACCTCAACTTACTCCCCATCAATTGTTACCCAGACACTTGTACCTCACTTTACTCCCAATCAATTGTTACCCAGACACTTTTACCTCAACTTACTCCACATCAATTGTTACCCAGACACTTGTACCTCACTTTACTCTCTATTAATTGTTACCCAGACACTTGTTACCTCACCTTACTCCCCAACACGGGTTACCCAGACACTTGTTACCTCACCTTACTCTCCATCAATTGTAACCCAGACACTTGTTACCTCACCTTACTCCCCAACAAGGGTTACCGAGAGACTTGTACCACACGTTTCTCCCTCCAATGGTTACCCTCACACTTGTTACCTCACCTTACTCCCCATCAATTGTTACCCAGACGCTTGTTACCTCACCTTACTCCCCAACATGGGTTACCAAGACACTTGTACCTCACCTTACTCCCCATCAATTGCTACCCAAACACTTGTACCTCACCTTACTCTCCATCTATTGTTACCCAGACACTTGTTACCTCACCTTACTCCCCAACACGTTTTACCCAGACACTTGTTACCTCACCTTACTCCCCTTCAATTGTTACCCAGACACTTGTTTCCTCACCTTACTCACCATCAATTGTTACCCAGATACGTGTTACCTCACCTTACTCCCCATCAAGTGTTACCCAGACACTTGTTACCTCACCTTACTCCCCATCAATTGTTACCCAGACACTTGTTACCTACCCGGTGATGATACGTCACTTGGCTCATTCGTTAACCCACTTTGCTGGGGTGCTGAAACAATATGAACAGATATCATACCCATATTGATATGCACCTGTTTGACGCAAATGTGCATATAGCTACTCGTGAAGTCATTAATCGATTAATATATTGATATTAATATTAGTCTGAGAAGTTGACAAACATGTGATAAATATGTATAATAAACACCATGTATCTACTACAAGTGTTGCCTAGTTGAGTGTACAGCAGATTGAAGTGGGTGTTGTGATATTGACACGTCCACACATATGCTGTTAACCCGACAGTCAGGTTTGTTATACCAATACTTTCTACCACTGTCTATGTATCTTTCCAGTGGACACCTACCCAGCGACAAGTCGCCTCTTGTTTCATTGGTGAAGCCAACTGGCGTGATAGCTGAAACAACACGAGAGTGTAAATTATCCATATGGACATGTACCTTTGTAGTGTGGTTGTTTAAGCAATTATACAGAAATGAAACTAGCTGGTCGCCTAATCTGTCAAACTAAACAACATAATATTATTTGGAGCGTCGTAATTAAGATAAGCTTCACGTCGTCTGTATTTCAGTCTTACTGACTGATGATTTGAAAAGTAAGAACTATGACCAAATTGCGAATACCTGTGTAGACATTGTGTGTACACGTATAGAAGATGACGTCAGTATTTTGCCTGCTGTACTGTTTTGACAAACGACTGCATTTATTCTTCCTAACAAATGAGTATCAGGGCCTAGATTTTCGAAGCTTTCTTAGCGCTAAGATAGTCGTAAGTTAATGTTAATTTATGGCACCTACGGCTATCTTAGCGCTAAGAGAGCTTCGAAAATCTAGGCCCAGGAGTTTAATTAATTCAACATTCAATGGGCAATGAATACTATGACACCGACTTATTACTGTAGATGAACAGTGTAAAGATTGTGCCTCTTCGATGATTTTGTAATACTTTCTGTCAACACTGTCTTCCCTTGGTTGTGAGGCTAGAGCTTGATACGTGAAGTTGGATTGAAGTAAGGTACGACTCACTGTTTTAAGGCTAGAGCTAGACGACTCACTGTTTTAAGGCTAGAACTAGATACGTGAAGTTGGATTGAAATAAGGTACGACTCACTGTTTTAAGGCTAGAGCTAGACGACTCACTGTTTTAAGGCTAGAGCTAGATACGTGAAGTTGGATTGAAATAAGGTACGACTCACTGTTTTAAGGCTAGAGCTAGACGACTCACTGTTTTAAGGCTAGAGCTAGATACGTGAAGTTGGATTGAAGTAAGGTACGACTCACTGTTTTAAGGCTAGAGCTAGACGACTCACTGTTTTAAGGCTAGAGCTAGACGACTCACTGTGTTAAGACTAAAGCTAGACGACTCACTGCTTTAAGGCTAGAGCTAGACGACTCACTGTGTTAAGGCTAAAGCTAGACGACTCACTGTTTTAAGGCTAGAGCTAGACGACTCACTGTTTTAAGGCTAGAGCTAGACGACTCACTGTGTTAAGACTCTAAAGCTAGACGACTCACTGTTTTAAGGCTAGAGCTAGACGACTCACTGTTTTGAGACTAAAGCTAGTTACGTGAAGGTGGATGGATGTAAGGTACGACTCACTGTTTTGAGTCTTGACGCCTGGCGTTATGACATACATCACCATGACAACACTCAGAAACATCTTGGTCCGCAATCAGCTGGAAGCATTAAATAGACTGAAAACACAAAACACATCATGCTTTTCAGTGGGGATAGATGATGCCTGGGTCACGAATATAACTTTATTACCTTCCTACGTCAGACATTCAACAGTTATTCAACAGCTTTCGTTATTCACGTCGTCAGAGATGGAGCAGACATTCAACGGTGCAGTAACTGCTTTCGTTATTCACGTCGTCAGAGTTAGATCAGACAAAGTACAAAAAGTATTCTGTACTCTGCTGAAAAAGTGTTATCCCACATCTAACATATTGCAAAGACACAGCTACTTTAGTTACTCGCGTCGTCAGCATTAGATCAGACATTCAACAAAGTCAACAAAGTTAACAAAGATTAGTTACATTTGTTGAAATGTCCAGCTTATAAAAAACTTCGGGGTAGATTTGTGCCTGAGAAATTGCAAGTTAACATGATATCGTTTAGCAATATCCTTAAACAAAACAAAAATAAGACATAAACAATCTAGCTCGTTTTATCTATTATGCATACAAAATGAGACAAAAGTTAGAAAAATAGAAATAGGTATTAAAATTCTAAAAACATCCAGTACAGCTATAAATGTATATGTTACTGATATTTTTGACTGGGGTGTAAGATAATCTATGCAGGTAGACAGGTAAATGCTAAGAATTCTTAAGACATTGTTTCCTATTTTCGTTCACGCCTTGATACCTGTTTAGAATATGTATGTTTATATGCATATGGGCTCGTGGCCTTCATACGTAATACAGATTTGGATGATGATGACATCGTCAGCGTTAGATCAGACATTCACCTCTGAGACAGTCACTTTAGTCACTTACCTAGTTAGCGTCCGATCAGATAGCTTCTCGCACAGCAACTAACATTTCAAATATAGTTCGTCCTTTATAGAAGCACATCAAATATAATATGATATTTTTATGTCTGTAATGCATGTTTAAAACTGAGTGCATGTCTTCTCACACACACAGAACCTAATTGAAAATAACCAAACTTCAAACCGCCGCCCAGATTTCCAGCACAATATTTCACAGTTCAATTTTTAATTTTTCAAATCAATACAGTTTGTTTCCTGCTCTGGACAAACGTGTTTTTATTTCATAACCAGCTGATTCCAGGAAAAGGTGTGGTGCTGATTGCTTCCCGTGGTGGCAAGAGTTACCCAAACAGTCTACTAACACTCTTCCTTGTGCTGGCAAGTGTTACCCAAACAGTCTACTAACACTCTTCCTTGTGTTCGAGCCTACCAGCTGGTGACAGACATTACACAGTGACAGCTATGTAATGGAATCAACAGTGTATACCGTGTTGTGAAAACAGACACGTTCTAGTGCACAACCTTGCATGTGCACTTAGAGTGTGAGCGTTAATGACTATGCTCAGTGTATAGTCGTGGTATTAATGCTCAGTGTACAGTCGTAGTATTAATACTCAGTGTACAGTCGTAGTATTAATACTCAGTGTATAGTCGTAGTATTAATACTCAGTGTATAGTCGTAGTATTAATGCTCAGTGTATAGTCGTAGTATTAATGCTCAGTGTACAGTCGTAGTATTAATGCTCAGTGTATAGTCGTAGTATTAATGCTCAGTGTATAGTCGTAGTATTAATGCTCAGTGTATAGTCGTAGTATTAATGCTCAGTGTATAGTCGTAGTATTAATGCTCAGTGTATAGTCGTAGTATTAATGCTCAGTGTAGTCGTAGTATTAATGCTCAGTGTATAGTCGTAGTATTAATGCTCAGTGTATAGTCGTAGTATTAATGCTCAGTGTATAGTCGTGGTATTAATACTCAGTGTATAGTCGTAGTATTAATACTCAGTGTATAGTCGTAGTATTAATGCTCAGTGTATAGTCGTAGTATTAATGCTCAGTGTATAGTCGTAGTATTAATGCTCAGTGTATAGTCGTAGTATTAATGCTCAGTGTATAGTCGTAGTATTAATGCTCAGTGTATAGTCGTAGTATTAATACTCAGTGTATAGTAGTATTAATGCTCAGTGTATAGTCGTAGTATTAATGCTCAGTGTATAGTCGTAGTATTAATGCTCAGTGTACAGTCGTAGTATTAATGCTCAGTGTATAGTCGTAGTATTAATGCTCAGTGTATAGTCGTAGTATTAATGCTCAGTGTATAGTCGTAGTATTAATGCTCAGTGTATAGTCGTAGTATTAATGCTCAGTGTATAGTCGTAGTATTAATGCTCAGTGTATAGTCGTAGTATTAATACGTATAGTCAGCGTATAAGTCGTAGTATTAATACTCAGTGTATAGTCGTAGTATTAATGCTCAGTGTATTAATGCTCAGTCGTGGTATTAATGCTCAGTGTACAGTCGTAGTATTAATGCTCAGTGTACAGTCGTCGTATTAATGCTCAGTGTATAGTCGTAGTATTAATGCTCAGTGTATAGTCGTAGTATTAATGCTCAGTGTATAGTCGTAGTATTAATGCTCAGTCGTAGTATTAATGCTCAGTGTATAGTCGTAGTATTAATGCTCAGTGTACAGTCGTAGTATTAATACTCAGTGTATAGTCGTAGTATTAATGCTCAGTGTATAGTCGTAGTATTAATACTCAGTGTACAGTCGTAGTATTAATGCTCAGTGTATAGTCGTAGTATTAATGCTCAGTGTACAGTCGTAGTATTAATGCTCAGTGTATAGTCGTAGTATTAATGCTCAGTGTATAGTCGTAGTATTAATGCTCAGTGTATAGTCGTAGTATTAATGCTCAGTGTATAGTCGTAGTATTAATGCTCAGTGTATAGTCGTAGTATTAATGCTCAGTGTATAGTCGTAGTATTAATGCTCAGTGTACAGTCGTAGTATTAATGCTCAGTGTACAGTCGTAGTATTAATGCTCAGTGTATAGTCGTAGTATTAATGCTCAGTGTATAGTCGTAGTATTAATGCTCAGTGTATAGTCGTAGTATTAATGCTCAGTGTATAGTCGTAGTATTAATGCTCAGTGTATAGTCGTAGTATTAATGCTCAGTGTATAGTCGTAGTATTAATGCTCAGTGTATAGTCGTAGTATTAATGCTCAGTGTATAGTCGTAGTATTAATGCTCAGTGTATAGTCGTAGTATTAATGCTCAGTGTATAGTCGTAGTATTAATGCTCAGTGTATAGTCGTAGTATTAATGCTCAGTGTATAGTCGTAGTATTAATGCTCAGTGTATAGTCGTAGTATTAATGCTCAGTGTATAGTCGTAGTATTAATGCTCAGTGTATAGTCGTAGTATTAATGCTCAGTGTATAGTCGTGGTATTAATGCTCAGTGTACAGTCGTAGTATTAATGCTCAGTGTACAGTCGTAGTATTAATGCTCAGTGTATAGTCGTAGTATTAATGCTCAGTGTACAGTCGTAGTATTAATGCTCAGTGTACAGTCGTAGTATTAATGCTCAGTGTACAGTCGTAGTATTAATGCTCAGTGTACAGTCGTAGTATTAATGCTCAGTGTATAGTCGTAGTATTAATGCTCAGTGTACAGTCGTATTAATGCTCAGTGTACAGTCGTAGTATTAATGCTCAGTGTATAGTCGTAGTATTAATGCTCAGTGTATAGTCGTAGTATTAATGCTCAGTGTATAGTCGTGGTATTAATGCTCAGTGTATAGTCGTAGTATTAATGCTCAGTGTACAGTCGTAGTATTAATGCTCAGTGTACAGTCGTAGTATTAATGCTCAGTGTATAGTCGTAGTATTAATGCTCAGTGTATAGTCGTAGTATTAATGCTCAGTGTATAGTCGTAGTATTAATGCTCAGTGTATAGTCGTAGCATTAATGCCTCAGTGTATAGTCGTAGTATTAATGCTCAGTGTACAGTCGTCGTATTAATGCTCAGTGTACAGTCGTAGTATTAATGCTCAGTGTATAGTCGTAGTATTAATGCTCAGTGTATAGTCGTAGTATTAATGCTCAGTGTATAGTCGTAGTATTAATGCTCAGTGTATAGTCGTGGTATTAATGCTCAGTGTACAGTCGTAGTATTAATGCTCAGTGTATAGTCGTAGTATTAATGCTCAGTGTATAGTCGTGGTATTAATGCTCAGTGTATAGTCGTAGTATTAATGCTCAGTGTATAGTCGTGGTATTAATGCTCAGTGTATAGTCGTAGTATGTAATGTATTCAGTGTACAGTCGTAGTATTAATGCCTCAGTGTATAGTCGTAGTATTAATGCTCAGTGTATAGTCGTAGTATTAATGCTCAGTGTATAGTCGTAGTATTAATGCTCAGTGTACAGTCGTAGTATTAATGCTCAGTGTACAGTCGTAGTATTAATGCTCAGTGTATAGTCGTAGTATTAATGCTCAGTGTATAGTCGTAGTATTAATGCTCAGTGTATAGTCGTAGTATTAATGCTCAGTGTATATCAGTCGTAGTATTAATGCTCAGTGTACAGTCGTAGTATTAATGCTCAGTGTATAGTCGTAGTATTAATGCTCAGTGTATAGTCGTAGTATTAATGCTCCAGTGTATAGTCGTAGTATTAATGCTCAGTGTATAGTCGTAGTATTAATGCTCAGTGTACAGTCGTAGTATTAATGCTCAGTGTATAGTCGTAGTATTAATGCTCAGTGTATAGTCGTAGTATTAATGCTCAGTGTATAGTCGTAGTATTAATGCTCAGTGTATAGTCGTAGTATTAATGCTCAGTGTACAGTCGTATTAATGCTCAGTGTACAGTCGTAGTATTAATGCTCAGTGTATAGTCGTAGTATTAATGCTCAGTGTATAGTCGTAGTATTAATGCTCAGTGTATAGTCGTAGTATTAATGCTCAGTGTATAGTCGTGGTATTAATGCTCAGTGTACAGTCGTAGTATTAATGCTCAGTGTATAGTCGTAGTATTAATGCTCAGTGTACAGTCGTAGTATTAATGCTCAGTGTACAGTCGTAGTATTAATGCTCAGTGTATAGTCGTAGTATTAATGCTCAGTGTATAGTCGTAGTATTAATGCTCAGTGTACAGTCGTAGTATTAATGCTCAGTGTATAGTCGTAGTATTAATGCTCAGTGTACAGTCGTAGTATTAATGCTCAGTGTACAGTCGTAGTATTAATGCTCAGTGTATAGTCGTAGTATTAATGCTCAGTGTATAGTCGTAGTATTAATGCTCAGTGTATAGTCGTAGTATTAATGCTCAGTGTATAGTCGTAGTATTAATGCCTCAGTGTATAGTCGTAGTATTAATGCTCAGTGTATAGTCGTAGTATTAATGCTCAGTGTATAGTCGTAGTATTAATGCTCAGTGTATAGTCGTAGTATTAATGCTCAGTGTATAGTCGTAGTATTAATGCTCAGTGTACAGTCGTCGTATTAATGCTCAGTGTACAGTCGTCGTATTAATGCTCAGTGTACAGTCGTAGTATTAATGTTCAGTGTACAGTCGTCGTATCAATGCTCAGTGTACAGTCGTAGTATTAATGCTCAGTGTATAGTCGTAGTATTAATGCTCAGTGTATAGTCGTAGTATTAATGCTCAGTGTACAGTCGTAGTATTAATGCTCAGTGTACAGTCGTAGTATTAATGCTCAGTGTGTACAGTCGTAGTATTAATGCTCAGTGTACAGTCGTAGTATTAATGCTCAGTGTATAGTCGTAGCATTAATGTCAGTGTATAGTCGTAGTATTAATGCCTCAGTGTATAGTCGTAGTATTAATGCTCAGTGTACAGTCGTAGTATTAATGCAGTCAGTGTATAATGTCAGTGTCGTAGTATTAATGCCCAGTGTATAGTCGTAGTATTAATGCTCAGTGTACAGTCGTAGTATTAATGCTCAGTGTACAGTCGTAGTATTAATGCTCAGTGTATAGTCGTAGTATTAATGCTCAGTGTACAGTCGTAGTATTAATGCCTCAGTGTACAGTCGTAGTATTAATGCTCAGTGT